AACGCCTTTACCTCCTCTTCCTCTCGCTAGATCGGCTAGTCAATCTGTTCCGACAGGTATGCTTTTCTCCATATTGCTATGCCGTTTTGGTGTTCGAACAGCTTCTTTCGCTCGTTATTACTCCTTGAAGCTTGGTTTTTCGCCGAATCTTTTGTTCAAGCCCGAATTTGTTCAAGCTTTGTTCTGTCGCCGAATATTTGCTCAAGCCCTAAACTTCGTATGGCTTCGATTTCCTGCTTTAATCTTCTTCAGAGATGCTTTAGTTCAGTTCAATTTCTGATATTCTTTAGTTCAGTTCAATTTCGATTTCCTGTTTTTGGCCGAATATTTGTTCAAGCCCTAAATTTTTATGTTGACTTGCAGCATTTTAGGTTGATTTTCTGAGTTGCTTTAGATCGATTATTTTACCAACAGCTATACACTGAACTGAAGGTTGTTTGATTAAATTCATTTCAGTTGATTTCCTGACATGGTTTAGTTGATTTCATTTCCTGAAATTATTTAAATCAACCTTAATTTTTTTTTTTCTGTTACTTTTATTTGTGTGATTCCTTTATGTATTAGCTTGTATGATTTCAGTAAATTTGGCAGCGATATGAGTTCAAGCTGGTCAACACAATCCATGAGAAGCCAAGACAATCCAATATATTATCGTTGCAATATGCAATGTCAAATATATACGTGCTACAAAGCTAATAATCGTGGCAGGAAGTTCTATCGATGTCCCCGGAATAGATCGGAAGATGATTGTCGCTATTTTCGATGGATTGACGAAGAGAATTCTGAAGTAGACGATGTCAATCGCTTTAGGAGCGCAAAAGCATCAGACTTTCACTTGAAACATGCGGGCACAATGATATCAGAGTTAATTCAAATTAAATTCTTATTGGTTATCATAATTTTACTGGTTGGTGTTGCCATCCATTCTATGTTGAAACCTTGTAATTGTAAGTAAATGTAAGTGATCCGTGTACTAGTTCTGTTTGAGCAATGTACCAACTTGTGATGAAAGTAAAAACGTTTTATGTACTAGTTCTGTTTGCCATCCATGTACCAACTTGTGATGAATGTAAAAACGTTTGAATGCAAAAAAATTATGTACTAGTTCTGTTTGCCATCCAGTCTATTGTCAGATGGGCTCCCTGTACAAGATCTTTTTGATCCATTTAACAAGTTGTGTATGAATGTAACAACGTTTTATGTACAAGTTCTGTTTTATGTAAAAACGTTTTGCAGTTTTACATCACGGCTATAAATGTACCAACTTAAGTCCATTCCAAGAGATGCTTGCAATTTTAGTAAGATCGGATGTTACTGGAGTAATATGCCAACGAGTTCTTCACTCTTTCCACTCTATATTTCAACAAATGCTAAAACGAAAAATTCATATAATGTGAATTGGAAAGAACACAATAGTACAGGAACATAAATCGAACATATTCCCAAGCAACCATAATAATCAGAAGAAGTTCGAAGCCTACGTGCACCGATCTACAAGTAGAAGTAGAAGAACGGTCGTATATACAAGGGCATGCACTGGTTCAGGGGAGAGAAACCAATGTCGAGAAAAAAAAAACTAGAACAGGCACTTCGTCAGCGTTTTCTAGTTTTACATCACGGCTGTAAATGTACCAACTAATGTTAATGCAGTTTTTGAAAACATAATCTTGATATGGCTCCTTCATATGCCATTCTGTATCTGCATAAAAAACTGTTGTTTAGCTTTAAAAAATGAACAAAGCTTTTAATGAAGTAAGACTACATACCTATAACTATAATATAGCTCGTCCACATAGGTGTGCCACAAAGTGTGATGCTTACTACCTACAAACGCTGCAACATGTTTACATGGTAAGCCTGAAATCTGCCAAAAACCACAAGTGCACGTATGATTCTCTATGTCAACTTCATGTCGCTCAGATAGCCCTTCAACCTCAGCTTTTGTTGCAGTTGATTGTCTTATAATGAAGTGCTCTTTTCTAGTTGTAACATCTCTAATGTATTCATCCACACAAGGAACAAGAGGACCTCTCCAAGAAACAGCATTTGACTTTCGATGAGCACGTTGTTCCATCAACATACCACGAATCATATCAATCAGATCAACAACAGGCTTACTTCTTGCCTCCTCTACCCAAGAGTTAAAGGATTCATCCATATTATTCGTGTTGTAGTGGTTCCTAATATGGTTTGAAAATGTTGCTTTCGACCATTTATAGGATAATGATGTCAAGTATGAATGAACTTGTGGATTAATGTTAAATATTTGTTGTAACTTCGAGTTAAACTCATGTGAGCTATAACAATTAGCAGCAGTCCATACCAATTTTTGCAAACTGTGGCTATCATCACAACGAAAAGTCTTTTCAGATTTTTCCAAAGGTGTCGCATACATACTCTGTGCTCGGCATGAGGAAAGACAGTTTTAATTGCTTCACCAAGCCCTTTCTCCATATCTGAAATAAATGCTAAATGTTCTATATGAACATCAAAAGATTGGGACAAATTCATAAGAAACCACTCCCAACTCTTCTTCGATTCAGATTCAGCAACGGCAAATGCAATATTAAATAAACCATTATTCCCATCCAACGAATTAGCAGAAAGGAGGACGCCTAAATATTTTGATTTTAGATGGCAAGCATCAATGCCAATTAAATATCGACAACCGGCAAGGAAACCATCAATGCAAACCTTGAAGCTAACAAAAAACCTCTTAAATGAGCCATTTTGTTTGTCACATTGGTATGTTATATGTGAACCAGGATTCCTATTCAATAACTCTGACCTCAATGTCGGCACCCATTTGTAGTTATCATCAACTGAACCAAACATTTGCTCTCTTGCTAACTCCCTTGAACGCCATATTTTCATGTATGGTAAAGATAATCCAAAAGTGGTCTCTAAGTTATTACCAATATCCTTTGGAGTAACATCAGGATTCCTTTTCACAATGTCCTGAATTTCATGAGCAATCCAGCTTGAGGTAGCTTGTTTGTTCCCAGCTCTGTTAACTCCTGGACATAAATGTGTCGAGAGTAATTTTCTAACTTCAAAAGAATGGCCATCTGAACATAAAGAGGCGCGTATTCTCCATGGACAACCACGATATGTGCATGTAGCAATAACTCTTGATTTGTCACTTGCCTTTATTCTAATTGCAAAGTTCTGTAATATTGCATTAGAACGAATAGCTTGCTTGAAACTTGACGAATCCTCAAAACGGGAACCTACACATAAAATATTTGTTTCTTCAACTCCACCCACAAATGAAGCATCATACAAACCATCTACTAATATGTCATTGTTCACCGTATTCGTGGCACTTACATCTTGCACACAGCCACGTTGAGTTTCATCCGTATAAATCATACCTTCTTGATGATCTATCACTACAACCACCACCTCAACTTTGTTGACATTGCGGGAACCTAAAAGCATGTCAATCACATCATTCTCACTTTTAATTGGCATGTACATTTTAGGCGATGTTCCACTAATATGATAATGTAGATCATAGGCATGACCCCTAATCCACTGGCAAATTGCTTCGGTCTGTTCTTTCAATAACAACAAATTAATGTGACTTCTTTCAAATTTCAAAGTTTTCTGATTTCCACCGACATATTTCATCCTATTTTGACCCTTCACCTCAGTCCAGCATCCTCCAAATTTTAAAAGAATAGAGCACACATTGTTGCACTCCATATCTGTAAATAAAATTAAAAAGGGATTCTATTAAACAATTATAAATGATAAAACAAATTTATATGATAAAACAGATTAACTGTTTCGGCTTCCCATAAAACACATTGTTGCACTCCACTAATATAACTAAAGATTAATAAAAACAGAGCAGAGGAATCATATTTCGGCTAAGGTCCATAGAAGCTTTTCTGTTTCGCATACTTCGTCAGTTAGTCAGAACCTATTTTGTCGCTAATTCAAGTGCAGAAGGCGACGGAGAAGGTTGGATGGAGAAGGGAAAAAAACTTAAAAATAACAGAACCAAACTATACGAACTGAAGCCGACGCGAACATTTTCATGCCTGTATCGGATGTCGAAGCTGAATAAGAGGAGAAGGTTGGATTCGCTAACAGTGCGTTCAGAGAGAAGTTCGCCAAGAAGTCGCGAACTGTGTGATTCACGTCAAGAGAAGAAGCTGCTGTAAGTTCCCGCCCTTTTTCGCGATTTTGTGTTGACGGGAGGCGACGGGGAGGTGACGGAATGTTATTTTTGATGAGAATAAGGGTTTGAAGGTGGTATAGAGGTAAATAGAAAAGTTTAGGTGTTAGGTATGTAAATAGACTTGTTTTAAGCGTTAGGTATGTAAAAATCCCTAAAATTTTATTTTCAAAATCAACCCTCCTTAAAAAAGAATTACTGTGTTCAAAATTCTTCTCCGGACGCCGGTCAGAGACTCGCTACCGCCGCTCGCCCGCATGGCAATCGTCACGTGCAACGCATGATTTCCATGTGTCGGCGTAACGACGCGTAGCATCGTCACGTGTCCGATTTCAACTTTCCTCAGTGGCGCTAGCGGGCCATGAACCCAACCTATCCAAGCCAGTAACGTGGTGATTACGTGTATGGCAAGGTCAGCAAATATTGTGGATGGATGAGTTGGACCGGATGCTATTTTGCTCAAATTTCTTTATTTTTCATATATTTCTAATCAAATTTAAGCATAATTTGAATTTATAATTTTATTTAAGTATATTTATTAGTTTTAATCAAACTTATCGGGTACAACTAACTGTCTTTATTTCCACCGTTGGATGCTTAATAGTTTGCATATAAATCCAGCACACTTGTTGACTTGTTGTGTCTCAAGGCATGAAAAAATACAAAAGCATTACTTGAAGCTTTTTCCCATGATATTTTTTTTCTTTTTTTGTTATTATTTCAGTTACTATTGCAAGGTTTTTTTTTCATGGTATCAGAGTTGATTACTTAATAATTGTGTGGCATATTTCTATCTCAAATGAATACCTCTGATCTTTATAAGACGTCGTTGTATGCACGAGAAAATGATAGTCTCAGCTCTCTGCTTATAGAATTTCACATTCTATCTCAATTAAAGCTTCGTATGAATTATGCGAAAAACATGATAAATAACCCTTTAACAATAGAATCATCTTGTATGGAGATCTCAGATACTTATAAGTTTTCACAACAAATGGCTTTGATGGTTTCCTCACTGGTATTATCCCACATCCTCCTAAATATTTGATTGCAACAAATATCAATCCTGCTCCTAATCCTACTTATAATCAATGGGTAATAATAGACAAAAATATCACCTCATCTCTTTATTCAATTATTTCAGTTTCTCTATTACTATATGTGCTCAATTTAGAAACATGTCATGAAGTGTGACTCACACTTGATAAAAGGTTGCAATCTTCCAATTGGTCTCACATTCTTTAACTCAAAAGAGAATTTCATCATTTAACCATGAAAGATGAAATTATGACTCAATATTTGTCCAATGTTAAAGCCAAAGTAGATGCAAATTTTGTAGTAGGCAGTGTAACTGATCCAGAGGACATTATTTTATACACCATAAATGATCTTCCGCCATCATATCAAGCCTTCAAAACAATCATTCATACAAATCTACAACCTCTGAGCCTTGATGATATCTATTTATTCTTCTGTACCAAAGAAGTTAATTAGGCTGTTGAGGCTCCACGTGAAGTGCATATTACATAATAGAGCTTTTGATACAACTCGTGGTCGTTCTAGAGGCAGAGCTCCATATATATATATTCTAAATGTGGTTGTTCTGATGTCCATGGATGTAGCACTTTCTTCAATAGAGCTATTTTTCCCTCTAGTCCCTTGGTTAAGTGTCAGATTTGTTTGAAAAAGGAATATAATGTTGTCAATTGTTGGCTTTGCATTGATCTAACGTATCAATCTACTTTATTATATTCTTTTTACCTTTGCTACTAGTATCATACTACCCAATTAAGATCACTAGTTTCTAGACACTGGTGCCACTTCTCACATTACACCTGAAATCTATGAGAAGGAAGAGGAAACAGAGATTAGGAAAACTAGAACTTCATTACCTTAACATTTAGCATACAGAGCTTTAAATAGATATCTAATACAAGAAGGTACATAAAGTAAATACTAGCTAATTTAGACTAATGATAGCTTGACAAGTGTCCTCTAACAGTCCCCCTCAAATTGATCATGAGGTGACCGAATGGTCAATTTGTTTCGTAGTAATTGAAACTGTTTGAGCGGGAGCGATTTGGTAAGAACATCGGCAAGTTGGTCGGCTGAGCTGACGTGAGCTATATGTATTTCTCCTTTTTTAATGTGTCCGCTTATGAAATGATAATCTATCTCGATGTGCTTGGTTCGAGCATGGAAGATCGGGTTGTTTGAAAGGGCAATTGCAGAGGTGCTGTCACAAAAGATTGTCGTCGGAGATGTTTGAGGAATCTGAAACTCGGCTGCAAGCCGGCGAAGCCACAAGATATCAGAAGTGGAGGAAGATAGAGCACGATATTCCTCTTTCATGGACGACTTGGCGACCGTGTGCTGTTTCTTGACAGTCCAAGAGACAAGGTTGGGTCCGAGAAAGACGCATGAGCCCGTTGTGGATTTCCGATCGGAGGGATCGGCCGCCCAATCGGCGTCCGTGTATGCACAGAGCTTAAGATCTCCGCATGTGATTGGTAAACCGAATGTAATAGTTCCTTTGATGTACCTGAGCAACCTCTTGAGAGCATGAAAATCGCAATTTCTGGGTTTATGCATCCTTTGACAAATAGTATTGGCGGCGAAGGCGATGTCCGGCCTTGTTATTGTTAGATACTGCAAAGACCCGGCGAGTTTGCGAAAGAGTGTTGGGTCGTTGAAGTCTTGATCGTCCTGGTGGACGGTGTGTTTTGAAGCCATCGGTGTCCGGGCGGGTTTGCAGTCGGAGAAACCTGCAGTTTGAAGGAGTTCATGTGCGTAGTGACTTTGAGTTAAGAAGTATGAATTGGAGTTTTTGATCACCTGAATCCCAAAGAATAGGGACACGTCGCCGAGCTGTTTGAGACGGAAGGCCAAGTTGAGTTGGCAGAGGACTTCTTGAAGCTTGGTATGGCTATTCCCGGTGATCAGAATGTCGTCCACGTAGATGAGAATGAATAGAGTGATGCCATTGGTAGAGAAGATGAACAGCGAGGGATCGGCTTTACTGTGGGTAAACCCGAGAGTCTGGAGGTAGGAAGTAAACTTCTGGAACCATTGACGTGGAGATTGCTTGAGTCCGTAGATGGATTTATGGAGCTTGCACACGTAGTTGGGATGTTGATTATCTGTGAACCCAGGAGGTTGTCGCATGTACACTTCTTCGGGTAAGTCCCCATGCAGGAAAGCATTGGAGACATCGAGCTGAGTGACTGGCCAATGGTTGTTTGTGGCGATGGTAAGAAGCAGCCGAATTGTGACCATTTTTGCCACGGGGCTGAATGTCTCGGTGTAGTTAATACCGAATTGCTGGGAGCAGCCTAAGGCGACTAGACGATCCTTGTATCGGTCTACGGAGCCATTTGGTTTCAGTTTGGTCTTGAAAGTCCATTTGCAACCAATTATAGGTGTGTCGGACGGTGGTGGTACCAGTGACCATGTCCCCTGTTGCTGAAGCGCAAGGTATTCGGATGACATAGCCAGTCTCCAATGCTCGAATTTAGATGCTTGAGCATAAGACGTCGGGGAATGC